AGAGAAACAGGTATAGATTGTCTTTGACTTGAAATATGTATTCTTCAGCCTGCCATTAGCAGAGGTGAATCAACCCATTTTTGCTTTTGAATGGACAGGCCCAGAGGAAGGTTAAACTGGACAACTTATTTGTACAAACTTTCCCCAAGGATTTAAGAACTATTTGACGTGGCACTAAGTACTGACCTCCTGCCCTCTGTCAGAAGTTTCCTGGGACCATGCTTTTACAGAATGTGGATGACATACTCCTGTCCTCTGAAACTGAGATTTTAGGAGGGCCACTGAGGAACTGCTACAAGAATTCCAGACATTGGGTTACAGAGTGTCTCCTGACCTGGCTGCCACACAAGTATCCCGAAGACTAGTGGAACTATTAATATTCTGGTGACATACCCTAATCCAGTGCTACTTAAGAGTACATGGTATAACCAAAGAGAAATGAAGGATGCAAAAGGAAGTGATGGACAGCTTGGACCCACAGGTTGGTAGAGGACACCTCCACTTGAGACCTCTACCACAAGCTTCGAGCCAAATCTGAAGCAAGCTTTAATTAAATACAGACCAGGAGGATGGACTCTGGCCAAAATGCCCATGAGTCACATCTTACAGAGGCTTAAGAAGGCAATCCCATAAGCCCACAGTATTTCCCACTATGTCCAATCAGGGATAAGCACATGTCCTGAGGTTCCTCCTAGCCTGCGTACCTCCCACTTCCATTCAATCAGGGGCGAGCATACCTCTGATTTGTTGCCTGCATATGTACTTCCCTCCCATGAGATCAAGCACATCTGGTACAGCTGAGTGAAACAACCTTGTTCAGAGAAGTGAAAACATATGGCTTGTTACCTCCTATGAACAACAACCGCCAGTATTTCATGACATAGCTGTCCCTGGGTAAGGGGCTTCCAGGTTAGGGGTATTTTGTTTCAAGGATCTCTTAGGGACAGCAATTAAAACATGAACTTAACTTTAGAGCTCACATTCCCCCTCTTGAGTTGTACTCTGAGTCAAATTCTTGACTCTGCAGTGGGTACCTGTTTATATTGGGATATGATAACTATCAGCTTAACTGTTCCCAGACAGAAATTGTCATCTAGTTAAGGCATTAATGATGCAAGAGCCAAGAGCAATTATCAGAAACAGAAGGGTCAAAGGCCCTCGGATGGCTGAAATCAGAGTTACTATCTAGAAGAAACCTGGAAATGAGAATGTGGACCAGTTATTAACTTTATCTCAGTCCTCCCACTTTTGTTTGTTTGTTTGTTTGTTTTTAGTATAGCTAGATTATTTCTAATGATTCCTGGGTGGTTTGTATAGAAACAACAATTTTTTCTTAAATCTATACAATCTTTGGTTTACATAGAGAAGTTGAGAGTGCCCTATCATATTGTACAACTATTTCAGCTAATGAATATATGTGTTGATAATCTGGATCTATTTGGTCTTAACATGTACCTTTCCTGGTATGCCAGCACTATGGTAGCCATTTTGTTCCCTATGTCAGGGAGTTTCCTTTTGATCTAACATCCCAGCCCATCTGAGACAAGAGGCAACATACTCTTCTATAACTACTTCCTGCTGAAACTAGGGCATCTTTGTCAGGGCACAGGAAGGCTGGAATGCTAATGAAAATGTAAGAGAGGATTTAGGCACTGGGACATTCATCAGAGGCATCTGGTTTGCTGACCCACCTGAAAAGACAGGGAGCAATTACATGGACTGGACCAGTCACTTTCAGCAAGTTCAGGGCTCACAGCAATTTTTAGTCTGCAGCTCATTCTTGGATGGTGTCAGTCAGCTAAGTGAAAATCTGCTGACAAAAATACAGACTAGGGACAGAAGTTTAGGAACTTAAAGAAAAATTTCACATTTGGGACTTTCCGGTCCATAATACTAGTAATTAGGGAAGGGAAGAAACCCCACTACCAGCAGAGAGATCCCACCCTCAGGAATAGGCAGATGTGGAAATGCAGGCTGTACTTATCTGGAGTACATTTGATCTGTGAAAAGTGGAAGTCTTATAACTTCCCTAATTCCCTGAAACTTACATGAATCTTTAGTTTACAAAAAATAGATAAAAGTTTTAGATATATTAGCATTAATCTTTATTAAAATCTACATTGTAGAAAAAACAGCTAATAGTTGTCCGTAAAACATCTGGAGTAGACTCATGCCTTTGAGTCCTAGCAAAAGCTATGGCTTTGGGTTAAAAAGCATGATCATAAAAATTAAAAAAAAAAAAAAAAAAAAAAAGCATGATCCTTTGGGCAGAATGCAGGGAATCTTACGAAAGAAGTGGGAAATAACAGTTAGATCTGGAGAGGACAGAAGGTCCACAAGGAGAGCAACAGAACCAAAAAATTTGAGCACAGGGGTCTTTCCTGAGACTCATACTCCAACCAAGTATCATGCATGGAGATAACCTAGAACCCCTGCACAGATGTAGCCCATGGCAGTTCAGTGTCCAAGTGGGTTCCATAGTAATGGGAACAGGGACTGCTTCTGACATGAACTGATTGGCCTGCTCTTTGATCACTTCCCCCTGAGGGGGGAGCAGCCTTACCAGGCCACAGAGGAAGACAATGCAGCCACTCCTGATGAGACCTAATAGACTAGGATCAGAAGGAAGAAAAAGAAACCCTCCCCTACCAGTGAACTTGAGGAGGGGAGTGTATGGAGAAGGGGGAGGAAGGAAGAGATTGGGAGGGGAGGAGGGAGAGAACTAGAGGGGGAATACAAAGTAAATAAAGTATAATTTTAAAAAAGGATGATCATAAATATTAGTATTTCCCCAAAGGTTTATCCTCTTGTGCTGTAACACATGTAGGAAACAGTTTAGCAAATAAAGACAGCAAAGACTCCACATGCTGCACAAATGCCCCTTTCACCCTGGATTCAAACACCTGTAGTCTTACTTTACCTCTTGAGGGAATGTTCAGGAACTATCCAATGTCGTCTGTCCTTCTACAGTTTTAAGTAAAATCATTTGTATATAATTAGGCATTTCAAAAGGATGATATGGCAAATTAATATGCTCTTCTAACTTCTAAAAGTTATTAAGTTTTTAAAAATTGTCTGGTCTAATGGACTTTGATTTTTTGTTTTGTTTTTTGTTTGTTTTTGGTTTTGTTTTTTTTTTTTGCGGTTTAGCAGCAGTTCTAATAATATGTCCCAAATATTTACCTCTTCAGTGCAATAATAAGCCCATTTTTTATGTAGCATATCCTGAGTCATAACATATATGTATTGTAGCTCTTTGGAGGTAGCTAACAGGATATCACCTATATAATGAATAATTAAGCCTGAGGGAATTCCTGCCTCACAGGCTGTAAAACCTTTCCAACACTGCATTGAAAAGTAGTAGGGGAGACTGTCAAACATTAAGGAAATACAGTCCTTTGATATCCTTTGATATTCTTTATAATTGAGTGATGGATCAGAAAAGGCAAAATATATCTTATCATCAGAATGAATATGTATTGTATAAAAGAAGTATTTTCAATCCAAAACAATTTTTTAACCAAGTGTCAATTCTGTTTATTAGTCAACTGGAAAACTAGACAGTCCTCCAGTGCAGGAAGGTATTAATTTCTCTTCCTCATGATCACCAGCTCCAGCACCACCCTGGAACACCTTGGTGTTCTTCCTCTTCACTGAAGGAGAATGGAGGGAGAAGACAATGTGCTTGCGGGAGCCCAGATGGAAAATGAAGGATGGGATGTTCATCACCTGCTTGCGGACCCTCATGACGCTGGCGGATAAGCACACGGGCATGGTGAATAGATTTGGCCAGGCCCAGCTTAAAAGATCTGGGTCTGAGGCTGGAGAGAGCACACTGGCTCTTCTTCCAAAGGTCCTGAGTTCAATTCCCAGCAACTATGTGGTGGCTCACAACCATCTCTAATGAGATCTGGTACCTTCTTCTGGCATGCAGGCAACTGTAGGATGGATGGACGGATGGATCAATAGAGACCTGGGTCTGCAGCCGCCTCTCCAGGAAATCCTCATCTTCAGGTGCAGGATGTAACCAGCTTCATCTTGTCCTCCTCCAGCCCCTGCTGAGGACAAGCCACCTCAGGAGAGCACTGCCTTCAAAATGATGCTGTGGATCCTTTTCTTCCAGCATCAGCAGCTCCCAGGCAGCCTTGCGGATCTTGGCCAAGGTAAACTTGGCCCTTCACACTTCACATGGTTCCGGAGCCCATACTCTCCGATCAACTTCAGTTCCTGGTTGAAATGCAGTTTCTCAAAGGGTCTCCGTGGTTACGTAGGTTTTGCAACAAACCAACTTCTGGCAACTGGCATGTTTCTTCTCTAGGCCCACTGTGCCTACAAACTCACACCCATGACAAAGAGCCAATCCAAAACTTAATAAGACAATTCTTAGGGATAGCAGGGCTTAGGTAAATAAGACTTGTCAAGCTCCCCTTGACCAGTTAGTATTTTCTGACTGTTATGGTGTAAATAAATCCATTCCAAAACTTTATCCTCTTGTGCTGTAATGCTGTAAGAAACAATTCAGTGGGAAAAATAACTAAGTTTAAAGTCAGTGATGAATCCACATGATATACAAAGGCCTATACTGGTCTGAATTCAAATACCTATATTTATTTTTGACTCAAGATAATGTGGGGACTGCCTAATGCATCTCTCCTTTTATAAATAGATTGGTTAGTGCATATGAATATTTTGATCTTGCTATAATTGCACTGGAAAGACCAATCTCAGTTCATGAGGCCACAAAGGAATTGGTAAATGAAATTAACTTTTTACAGCCTCTCCTAAGTCCTGATCAAATGGAGACTCAAAGTTTAGACTGATTAATAAAATATTCAACACGTACATATTTGAGGGTCTTTTTAAGAAAATGGATATGTTCTAAAGGAAGTTCCAGTCAGGGAGCTGAGGAAGCAGTCACCTGAAATGAGGAAACTCATCTTTTTTGCTTTTTTTTGGTTTTTTTTTTTTTTTTTTTTTGTTTTTTGTTTTTGTTTTTTTTTTGCTTCTTTTGCCAATTTTAAAGTTTGATCATAAAGTTTATATTCATTTAAGGAATTCATCTTTACTTCCTCATGATTAATATGCTCCTTAATTTCCTTAATTATTTTGATAACAGTCCAAGTTGATGACCAAGTGATCCAAAATTGAACAGGGGTCTTTCCCTTTAATTTTTATACCTTTTCAATATCCTTTTGGACTCTGTCTCATACTTCTTGACCTATGTTCCATCTTCTGGAAATCAGGAGTTAAAAACAATTTGCAAGTAATCTACTAGTTGTGGTTTTAAGACTTGTGTTCCTTGTACTAGCTCAACATAAGGCAAAAGCCTTCCCAAGGTCTGCCCCATTATTTTCAATTACCCACTTCTCTGAGGGTCCTCACTGTCTCACATTCTACACGACCTCTGGTCCCTGTTCAAGGGCCACTTATCATTGTACTAGATAGTGGGATCTGGGAGAATGGAGCCGACAGATTAGGAAGACTGAAGTCTAATGAGTCTATGTAATAGCCAACTTTATTCAGAGACCCAGGCAATTTGTACTTTGATGTTTGGGAAAAAATCAAATGAGTAAAGTTCTTATGTGCTCAAGCTGGATACAGTCAGAAAAACAATGTTTTTCCACAGAAGTATATAAAGGTAGTTTAAAATTTTAACTTAATAACAATGAACAATAGTGAGTAATAGGAAAAGAAACTCACTTCTAACTGGTTATTGAGAGAAACCCCAAAACACATTCTAAAAGCAATACTGGGATTTGAAGAAATCTAGGTCATGATAGTCTTGTTTTTTTGAGCATTCACATAAGCACTCAGAACTCTCTTCATAGGATTCCATTCCAAGACAGTGTTCTGACAATATACATTAAATTTATTTAATGTTAATTAAAAAGTAACAAAATATACATGAAGAAAGCAACTTTTAAAATACCCTATTTATACAGCATACATTATATATATAAAATAGAGTACCATACATACATACATACATATCTCACACACACACACACACCACATATACCTCTGTCTTTACACCATAAGAATACCAGGTGCCCAGAAAAGGCAGAAAAGTTCATCAGGTGTCCTGGACCAGGATTTATAGGTAGTTTTGTGCCATCTGATGTGGGTGCTAAGAACCAACCTTGGCTACCCAACAGCAGAAGTACTATGGAGTCAAATCTCCAGCTCCCAAAGATGCCATTATAATACAGAAAATGAAGATGCCCCTTTCCTCATTCTGCCTTCTATCACTTAATAGGTGATGAACATTGTTGCTGTTTGGGCATTGAAGGATTGAACAGGATTTCTGAATGGACACTGCACATTGGTTCTTATTATAATTGTTAACACAGTTCTCTAGATGTAGGCAAGGACTTTTACTTGTGTAAACATGAGTCCAAATTATGTTAAGTAAAGTCTCATAATGTGATATATGCTTTTTTAAATGATTTTTATTTTACATGCATAACTTTTGCCTGTATATCTGTGTGAGGGTGTTGGATACCATGAAACTTGACTTACAAACAGTTGTGAATTTCCATGTATGTGCTGGGAATTAAACCTTAGTTCTTTGAAAAAGCAATCATCTTTACAAACTCCCTTTTTGGATTTTTAAGACAGAATTTCTCTAAATAGTTATGGCCATCCCAAAACTCACTATGTGGACCAGGTTGGCCTTAAACATCGAGAGATCCACATGCCTGTGTCTCACAAGTACTGGGATTACAAGTAAGCAACACTATGACCAAGTGAGATTTTATTTTTAATAACTTGTCTTTGAATAAGGCAATGAAAAAATAAGGTAAGATCAAAACAGGAACCATCATGTTTTGATGAACAGTAACACTTCTTGGAAATTTTCAATGTATTAATTTCAACTGGTAAATTATTCCCCATGTTCTTAATATTTTGGTTAATTGCTTTGTAAATTTTACCTCTTTAAAGTTTTTTAACTGGCAAGGTGGTGGTGGAGCAAGCCTTGAATCCCAGTACCCAGGAAGCAGAGGCACAAGCAGACAGATCTCTGAGTTTGAGACCAGGCTGGTCTACAGAGTGAGTTCTGGGACAGTCAAGGCTCCACAGAGAAACCCTGTGTCAAATAAACCAAAAACAAACAAAAATTTTTAAATGTATATAAACATACGTACTACCTGGTGGACATGTGCCAGTATCAGGACAATTGACAGGTATCTATTATAGAGTTCTTCTATGTGAGTACCCAGAAAAAAACAAGCTAGTCAAGTTTAGCAGCAAGTGTCCTAAACTACTGAGAGAATTCACTGGCCATTATTTCCATCTCAAAAATATTGATGTAAATGCTGGTGTGTGGGTGTACAAACAATCCATGAGGACTAACCAGAGAAAAACCTGAATGAGTAATATTTGTCTCCCAGAGAATGAACTCAGGTCATCAACCTCAGGAGGAACTACCTTTACTTCTTGAAACAATTCTCTGGCATTCATCTGTATTTCTGAGAAACGTTAAGAATGAGCATTTAGTCTTCAGGATAAAGTAACATAATCTAAAAAATAATGACAAATCAGTATCAGTTTCAGTTGGAAATAAGTTGTACTATTTAAGTTGTTCTATGTTCCTGTATTCCTGTATGACAATATGTTTAAAGTTTGTAAAGTAGACAATATTTTCTACTAATCTTACTCAAATCCCAGTGAGATAGCTCAGTGAAAAAAAATGTATGTGGAATTCAAGACTTTACCTTATTCATTCAGGTTCATGGGGCTTTTTACCAGTGTGAATTCGGTCATGCTTTTGAAGGTTGCTAAAACACACAAAAGCTTTATCACGGTGATTACATTCATAAGGGTTTTTGTCCAGTATGACTTCTTTCATGCCTGTGAAGATGACTGTTCTGTAAAAAGGCTCTACCACATTGATTACACCCATAGTGTTTCTCTCCAGTGTGTCTTCTTTCATGCCTGTGAAGATCACTTTTACAAGCAAAGGCTTTACAACATTGACTACATTCATAGGGTTTCTCCCCAGTATGACTTCTTTCATGCCTATGAAGATGGCTGCTCTGTGAAAAGGCTTTACCACACTGATTACATTCATAAGGTTTCTCTCCAGTATGACTTCTTTCATGCCTTTGAAGATTACTGTTACGTCCAAAGGCTTTACCACATTGCCTACATCCATAGGATTTTTCTCTAATATGACTTCTTCCATGATGGAAAAAATGGCTGTTCCGTGCAAAGGCTTTACCAATTTGATTATATTCATAGGGTTTTTGTCCAGTAAGACTTCTTTCATGACTGTGAAGACAACTGTTCTGTACAAAGGCTTTATCACATTGTTTACGTCCATAGGGTTTTTCTCCACTATGACTTCTTTCATGCCTTTGAGGTTTACTATTCTGTGCAAAGGCTTTATCACATTGTTTACGTCCATAGGGTTTCTCTCCAGTGTGACTTCTTTCATGCCTTTGAAGATTACTGTTACACCCAAACGCTTTACCACACTGATTACATTCATAGGGTTTCTCTCCCGTGTGACTTCTTTCATGTCTGTGAAGATGACTATTACGTGCAAAGGCTTTCCCACACTGATTACATTCATAGGGTTTCTCTCCGGTATGACTTCTTTCATGCATTTGAAGATAACTGTTACATGCAAAGGCTTTACCACATTTATTACATCCATAGGGTTTCTCTCCAGTATGAATCCTTTCATGCCTGTGAAGATGACTTTTATAAGCAAAGGCTTTACTACACTGATTACATTCAAAGGGTTTCTCTGAAGTATTAATTCTTTCATGTATTTGAAGATAACTGGGACATACAAAGGCTTTACCACACTGATGACATCCATACCTTTTCTCTCTAGGATGAAATCTAGGTACTTGATGAAGACTATGATATGGAAACGCTTTGTCACTTTGATTATCTTCATTTCCAAAAGATTTTATTTCCAAAAGATTTCTTTGGTGTAACTGTAAAGAGGAATTAGATCTAAAGGCTTTATCGTGTTGATTACATTCATGAAGATCCTTTTCATTATTGGTCCTTTTCTGTGTTTCAAGATACCTGTGATAGTCAAAGCCTTTATTACATGGCTCAGATGTATCATTTCTTTTTTCCATATGAGTTTTTTCACATGGTAAAAAAGAACTGGAGGAACTCAGAGTTCTACCACACTGATTACATCCACAACATTTTCCTATACTATGAGTCACATTACATGTGCAAAGTGAACCAGGACAGACTGAAGATTTTCCATATTCTTTGTACTCATGAAGTTTCTCTCCAGTGTGAGTTTGTTTATGTTTTCCTACTAAAGTTGGAAAACCAAGTAATTGCAAACTTGTATTGCAGACATCATGTCTTCTCATAGCAGGGACTACTAAATATCTTCTAATTGTTCTGGGAGAGACAGAAGTACATTGATTCTTTCCATATCCCTTATGCTCACATGGTTTGTATCCAGAGTGACAGATGATACATCTATTAAATGAAGGATAACAAATAAAAGGTTTTCACATTGCATTCATATAGTCTAACCATTTGTGTCTCATAGGTATGTGGTATAGATGATTCAGATTTCTCCACCATAACAACCTTTTCTTTCATAAAAGTCACTACAAGTATATGAAGGACAGTAGCTTTAATATGGATGATTTGTTTATAAAATCTCTTAGATATACCCCAATCTCCTTACCAGTATGTATGCCTTTTACAATAATTAGGTGGTAATAAACTAAGTGGATGGACAGTTCTACAGAATGGTCTCACATGTATATGTTTTTTTTTTAAGATTTTTTTTGAGACAGGGTTTCTCTATGTAGCCCTGAATGTCATGGACTTGCATTGTAGACCAGGCTGGCCTCAAACTCACAGCAATCCACCCACCTCTGCCTCCTGAGTGCGGGGATTAAAGGCATGCAGTAGCATGCCCAGCCACATGTATATGATTAAAACTGTGACATTTGTTAAAGCATTGTTCTATTTTTTTTAGTTGGGGGGGAGGGTAGGTTCAAGATAAGGTTTCTCTGAGTAGCCCTGGCTCTCCTGGAACTCATTCTGTAGACCAGGCTAGCCTCTAACTCTTGGAAAACCCACCCGCCTCTGCCTCCTGAGTGCTGGGATTAAAGTTATATACCACCAATACCTGGCTTCTTGTTTTGTTTGTCTTAGGGTTTCCATTGCTGTGAAGAGACACTATGACCACAGTAACTCTTATGAAAGAAAACATTTAACTGCAGCTGGCTTACAGTCTCAGAAGTTTAGTCAATTACTGTCATAGCAGGGAACATGGTGCCATGCAGGCAGGCATGATGCTGGAGACAGAGCTGAGAGGTCTACAACTTAATCCTCAGGCAGCAGGAGACTGGGCATAGCTTGAGCATAGGAGACCTCAAAGGCCACCTGCACAATGACACCTTCCTCTAACAAGGTCACACCTACTCCAACAAGGCCACACCTCCTAACAGTGCCTCTCCCTATGGGCCAAGCATTCAAACACACGTGTCTACAGAAGCCATTGCTATGCAGACCACCAGTTTCTTAAAGGAAAGGTCTGCAAACAATGATCAGCTATATGATATTGAGATACATGCTGTTTTAAGACGTTAATAATCACTCCAATGCTGTGCTTATTTACACTGCTGCTTTTCATTAAAACTTCAAGGTACATAAAATTTCTTCAAAGGCACATACATATCAGCTAGAATATGAAAATTACCTTCGATGTCTTCCAGAACTTTGCCAATGTTCTTCAATATTGTGATCTTCCCATTTGTACCCTAAAATACAGTACCAGAAAATATCTGATATATTACTGGAAATTATGCAAAACTGAAATTACTTTCTTAGGTGAACCTAAGAACAATGCCTGATTCCTTTACTACATTCTTCCTTTCATAGTAAAATCCACAGAAGAGCACCAATCTCCAAGAAAGGCTTGTCTCTCTAAGGTAAAAAGTGGAAGAAAACTCCAGTTCTTACCTATAGCAGTGAGGTTCCAGTAGGTCTCCAGCATCACGTCTTTGTAGAGACTCTTCTGGGAAGGATCCAGCAAAGCCCACTCTTCATGAGTGAAGTTCACATGCACATCCTCATAGGTCACTGCATCCTAAAATGTCCCAAACACGTACATAATAGAAATGGTGTATCTTACTTCACTGTAAAAGTACAGTTTATTCAGGATATATTTACATAATTCTGTGCACTTGGTACGTTAACTCCATGTAATAGCATTTCAAATGGAGTCACTAACTCACTTAATAAGGAAATTGAAACTGAGGGTGATGTCGTACATTTCTGTGCCAACTAAATAGAATATAGTAACATACACACTGAGACACACAACACTAGTTTGTATCAGCAAAATTGTATCAAAATGACTAACATAAAAAAAGGGGGACAATATGGGCTTAGTGGTGCATGTTTTTAATCCCAAACTACAGGAAAAACAAACAGGTGAAACTGTGATTGCCAGGCCAGCCTGCTCTATGTAGATTTCCAGGACAGCCAAAGGTATACAGTGAGATTCTGTCTCCAACAAATAAAGCAAAAAGATAGAGTACTAAAGGGCTCAATCAAATTTCCTTCAATGATTTAAACATTCATTCTAATCCTGTACTTGTTGAGCCAGGAAGGGCTCTCCTGGTAGCACCTGTTGTTGGGATCCCTAAGCAGGCATCTCTACAACCAGCCCCGAGGGACCTGACAAACCCGATATCAGGCATCCATGAGGCCACCTATGGACCACCCAAAACCACCTGTGCATGCTCTGGATCACCTTATAAGAGAACTTGTACCACCTCCTCTCTCTCTGTCTATCTCTTGCCCTACCCAGAGACGGTCTCTGTGACCTCTTCCCCCTTCCTTAATAAACCTCCCACATGAAAGCAGTCGTGTGGTGTGATTTGTGAACCCACCGTGTAACAATGTACAATCCTAACACCTGGTCTGGTCACACCAGCACACCTTTAAGCAAACAATGATGCCCACAACAGACTTTTCTTCTGTTCCACCTATCCCTAACCACCACTCAACCACATATGCCTTAAAACCTACACTTTCTCAACTGCCCTGCCTTTACCTTGCACACCTGTCCCTCTGCTTGTGGCTGCTCAGACTCGGAGACCTGCCATGTGCTCCTAGCACCTGGGACAAGGAGGACACTCACGCTGTGCTAGAACCAGCTTGGAGAGACTGGGACACTCGCACCAGAAGCTGGAACTGTCACAGACACAGCATGCTTTAAACTATCGCTGTTAGGTAAGCAATTGCTGGGGACCCTGCGCACACACAGATGGCTTTAAATTGTGCTGCTGCCTCGGCACCCCCACACAAAAGGTTTTAAATCTCCCTAGGAATGTCTGCCACGAGAGGTTTGCTTGCAGAGAAGGGTTTTCAGCTACCAAGTGTAAGCAGAGAGTTTCAAAACGGGCAGGGATAGCCATCCCACCAGCAAGCACCTGGTCTCGCTGTGCCGCTGCGGTTGGCACCACACATGGCAAGCTGCCATGTTGGTTTTAGAATAGAGAAGGTGTGCCATGAGCTGGGGTCTCACAGATGCTTGCCCCTCCCCCACCCCGCAGAACTATAAACCACTTTCTAAACACTGGCTCTCAAAACATCTCCGACCTCTAAGGCCCTACATTTTAAAAAATTCTTTTCTTCCTAATTTCTGTACACTCTGCTCTTTAAAAAAAAAAAAATTTATGCTGTAAATTCTTATCTAATGATTTATATCATTTGCTCATTGGGTTTACATTTATAAGACTTCCTTAGTCATAACTAACTGTTTATCTCCTTTTAGGCTAAAAACAAGAAGTCTCATTTTAAATGGGTATGCAGTTGTATATTAATTTAAAGTTATATTTTTACAACATGATATATATATATATATATATGATCCAACCCTGGTTCAAAATAATTTTTATGTGATGCTAAAATTTCAAGGTTATAAAGGTCTATTCAAATTAAGTTAATTTTAAGTGTACATCTAACTGCCTATGTCTTTATCAATTCCTGAATTAATAAATGCTGTTTCTCCCATCAGGAGTGCCTGTGATCCAGATTCACCATAGGCTTTCTGGCTAATAGGTTTGGTATTAATAAATTCAAATGTAATTTTAAAATTGCTTTATACTGTTCTACTATATTATTGGTTTTAAAACTTATAACTCAGGGTTTACTAAATAAAAGTTTTTGCCTAGATACCCTTAAAACGATATGATATAATTCCAAGAATACTCTAAATTAAGATCTATTAATTTTAGAGGCATTTATTCATTTATGTTAAAACGTGGTCACTGTGCTAAATCTTTACTGTAAAAATGTTAAAATATGCCTGTTTTTATTTTCTAAATATGGTAACATTATTAATCTATAACATAGCCTTAGACATTTATAAGGTGTGGATTTTTTATACACTATATCATACAGGAAACTGTTATGGTCTCGCTTTAATGGACTGTTTATGACTTTTAAGGCTCCAACTTAACAGGAACGAAACCCAAAGTCCTAAAAATGCAAGTTAATAGCCACTCATCTCATAGATGATCAAGTCCTCTAACGCGTCCAAAAATATATTTACAGTCCTACAGACGCAAACATGGTCTCACTGCTATCTTAATTGAACAGCTGAGGATGGTCCTTGAGTCACCACACAGGAGATGGTAAAAATAATTAGAGTCTCCCCAATAGGCTCATCTACAGGACAAAACTGTGCTCCATACCTTGCTGCTCTGAGGCTGTTGGCATTCCAGCAGAAATACAATGCCCCATTGCGCCAGGGTATAACCAAAAGTCAACTCCACCAGGTGACTGCTTCAAATGCAGCTGGGAAGAATGCTGGTCCCACAGCTGCCGCAA